TATGTGTATCTCTGTATTTTATTTATTTTCACTGTATTTTTCTTAATTATGATTTTATTTTTGTAAAATAACCCCAATTAATGTTATATGGCCTGGTGGTATTGCACTCGACTTGTAATTTGCGGGACGCGGATCGAATCCCATCACCGAGCATGCTCACCGTTTCAACTGTGAGAGGCGGTCAAACCAAACAAGATGTCGATGGGTGTTGTTAACTAGCTGTCTTCCCTCTAGTCTATCACTTCAAAAGTAGGGACAGCTAGCGCAGATAGTCTTCGAGTAGCTTTAGGCGAAGCTCAAGAAATAAAATCTGTAATATTATTCTATTTTGGAATTAACTTATTTTAGGTTTAGCTTATTTTGAGTTCTATTAGTTTGTAGTTGTGTTACTTATTTTGTCTTTACTTATTTATAGTTTGATGTTATTATTTTGCAGCTACTTTATTTTGTTGTATATATTTGTTTAGTCTGTTGGTGACTCCTGGAGCTTTAATGTCCCTCTTCATTGTCTTCGTGTAAGTGTTATGGTTGCCCGAGGGTGACGACTACCGTATCTTGTGGATTGGGATTTCACATTTGATTTGGTCATTAATGCTTAATCTTAAAGTTCGAGTCGTGGAAGACCCACAAGATGAGGAAATGGTGTGTGATGATCGAATGTCATCATATTTTACCTTTTCATAACTAGTTTAGTATGTGTCTTTACGTAAAGTATATTCGGATATATTTTCTACATTTTCATGCAGATGGTCTGCATGTAGAAATAACATCAATGTAAACTGGATGTTGAAGACCGTAAACATCCACTAATCCTTTTGCTTAGGTAAATGTTACGTATGGTTATTTATGTCTTATTGACCTTGTTTCTAATTCCTTGAGATGGGCAAATCAATCTGAAGGAATGATATGGTACTTGTACAAGTTGAAATTAGTTGGGTGTTCTTCCCTTTGTATATGCTACTCAGAATAGTTGTTGATGTATGTAACGTAAGGATTGTGGGATACCACCCTAAGTCCTTGGTCCGACTACAAAAGTTGGTATCCACACAATTATTTCTCTTGCTCTCTTGCTTCTCTCCAGATTTTGATATATGATCTTGCTGTTCTTTATCCCAGCAAACAGCCAGTCCACAAATATAACAATCAGAATCCAGCCACTCCGAGAATATGACTACTTTACACATTATATATGCGGATAAACGTTATTCTTATTTCGCATATTTACTTGTGTCATTTATTTCTTTGCTGTCCGTGTTTGAAGCTATTCTATTATATAACTTTTCCTGAACCTGCTACATTGTAATTACTTTGAGCTATTTGTTAGAGCTATTACAATTTATTCAGCTTGAATTTCCTTTTCGTTTGCTCATGTAAAGAAAATTCAAAGTTTAAAACCATCCGCTATATTTTAGATCTTAACCGACTGAACATATTTCTCTTCGTTATGATTCGAAGTTTGAGTATATAAAGGGCTTGTTTCATTATACTATTTTATTTACATACATATAGCCCACAGTTTTACAATGTTAAAAACTTTTCTAATTCTCTTTCTTCAACTTTGTTTTCTTCCATTTTTGCAGGTAAACTATCATCCATCCCTGTATACACTGTCTCTTCGTTATATCACTCACTGTACATCAACCTGAGAATTTTGTGATGCCAACAATGTTTCTGCATTATACACGTACCCTTGCTTTACGTGATGCTTCCGATGTTTTTGTACATTGTCACTTTCTTACGTCACTATACACCTACCTCTGTGATGCAGTCGAAGGAAATAATATTTTACAAGTAAAATCCATATAGAGTTCAACTGATTGAGATTAAATTATAATAAAAGCTAAACAATTGCATATATCAAATAAATCTTTAATATATAACAAATTAAAGCTACGCTGTCGGGGTCAGTAACTCTCTTTTCATTCGGTCACTTGTCGTTGTTTGGGAGGATTATATAGATACTTACTTATACTGGTGTCACACTTTTCTCAGGCACCACGAATAGAACATGAGAACAAACAGCTGTTTTTATTATGAAAATAATGCTATATTTTATATTTCATTCATCTAAATTTTATTAATATTATTGGTTATGACGTTTAAAAAAATTAATATTATTATTATGAAATGTTACACATATAGAAATAATTTTGCATTGTTAGCACTGTACGTGGATTTAGGAGTAACCCAAATCTCGAAAGATGGGCAAATCTTATGAGTATTGTTGAATTACGGCTGAAAATGTTGTTGTTAGTGACAGTATCCAAATGCTTATCTAATCATCACAGGTTTTACAACGCTAAAATCAAGGGTTCGATTCCCCTCGTTGGATACAGCAGATAGCCCGATGTGGCTTTGCTATAAGAAAAACACACACACATACATCACAGGTTTTGGTTTTATTGTACATTGATATATGAAATCGTGTAATTCTAGTTTTAGTTTTATTGTACATTGATATATGAAATCGTGTAATTCTAGTTTTAGTTTTATTGTACATTGATATATGAAATCATGTAATTCTAGTCAGCTTGTTAAATAGAAGTAATCAGCTTCATAGATTTTTAAATAACGTTTTTAATTCCGATCTATACCGTTAGCTCACTTTTAATCAAAAAGTTACTGATATAGGGTACTTCCATCTGCGATAATAATTTATATAATTAGTAATTCCAGTAGAAAAACAAATTATATTTTACAAGAAAAACTAACAAAGCTCTAATTCTTGTATAGGGTTTACACCTTTCATTATATATTTCCTAGTGGCCACTTTTGGAGACCAAATGTATGGAAACTGGTATTGTCACCACTCCGTTTTGAATGTATTTGGTATTTCTGAAGACTAGTAGTGTATTGTAGCTGGAAAACGACTTTGAGAATTTTAACAAAAGAAAAACTGTGAATAGTTGGCTGTAAAAATACTCAGTTTGGCCCCCTTCTCAGAGCTTGCCATAGGGTGTGGGAGTAGTTTCGAAGATTAATTCATGGCCGCAAATGTAAGCGCGATCTACTGCGGATTTAGAAGTTACTGACAGCAACAGCTTCATTGACCGACAAAATCCGCTTTGTTCAAACAAGTTAGACACATAGTGTGTTCTTAATATCTATTACTACATCGTGTAACAGAAGAGTGAAATGTAAATGAAAAATAAAAATGGAAGCGGAGAAAATTCAATGGTTAATGTGCCTGAAGAATGTAGAGCCAGCTTCGAAAGGGACTGTGACCACTAGATATGCAAATTAAGAGATAGAAGATATATCCATGCTTTCCCTCCAGACATGTACAAATCGTTGATAGCAAAAGAGGACAAGAACGATCCTTTAAGATTTCACTCGTTAATGAAAGGGATATTAGGGTTAACAATCGTGGTAAGGATTATATATACATGGAGTGAATTTTTTAATGACGCTTATTGCATCGGCAAATACTTAAATCGGTTGAGGATTATACAACTTAAACTATACTTCGTAGTTAAATCCAAGAGATATTGAAATCTGAGGCAAACGCAAAACAAATTGAAAGGATTAATAAATTTATTTAGGTGCCGTTTCAATACACCATTTTCAGTTCGGTTTAACACAGTTTCAAAATATCTTTACTGACAAATTACTTCTGCAGAGTCGATTCACGAGTAGCGCAACTAGAACATCATACAAGATCACAACTGATAGTACTTCTTGTGATTATTATTTAAATGCATCCTGTCTTGTTTTATTTTTTAACACTCAGAAACAGGAAATATCCTGCTTATGTGACGTATTTTTTTCACGACGAAACAGGATATTGATTATAACTAAATTGACAACTTTTGAGCAGTAGGTGTTCGCAACTACTGGTGTTCTCAGATCTAACGATATATTATAATAATACTCAGTTTTTGTCTGTCCTGAAAATGCGCGCGCACTTCATTTCAAAAGGCGGATGTAAATATACTCTGGTAGACATTTTGTATATCAATGTTTTTAAAAGTGTCTAACATTAGGTCGTAGAATAACATTAAAAGTTTATTTACTGATAGTATTAAGTACGGTAAAGTTTAGCTTTAACTAAAGCAAAAAAAAAAAAACACAAGTTACAGTGTTAATTTATCTCTTTATCTTTTTTGATTTGCCGTTTAATATTACCGAAGAATGTAGAACCAACTTCTAAAAATACTCAGGCTACTGGAACTTTCTTATTTTAATTCGGTTGTTAATTTTCCTGAAGAATGGAGAGCCAACTTCTAGGTGGACTCAGACTATTGGAACATTCTTATTTTGATTCTGTCCATGAAGAATCCAGAGCCAACTTCTAAGGGGATTCAGACCACTGGATTTTTCTTATTTTAATTCAGTGGTTAATGTCTCTGAAGAATTCAGAGCTAACTTCTAAGAGGATTCAGACCACTGGATTTTTCTCATTTTAGTTCAAAGTGTCCTGAATAATTTGGAACTATTTGTAGAAGAGATGAAGAGTTGAGTTCAGTACGGGTTTTTCTCGTTTTTATTTATCTTGAATTCTTATTTTAATCTTCTCTATTTTTACTGCTTGTTTGATTAACTTAAAAGCATGGTGTTCATTATAATGGTATACGTGTAGTTTTAACTCACACCAGAAAGAACGAATATTCTATTAAAATAGTACAAACTCTCAAAATTTCAACTACACGAGGGGCGGATTGGATCAAATAACAGTCGTCCAAGCTGGTTGATTGAATAAAGTATACATGTCTTTAACAATGTATGCGTATTCATATTTATTTAACACTATTTTTTTGACATCTTCCATATCTTTATTATAATTTACAAAATATTTATTAAATCTAAAAACATGTTATTGTTTTCACCATATCAATTAATTTAAATTTCCTTAAAGGACGAAGTTGGGATAATTATAAAAAAATAACCTACAACCAAAATCATATGTTATTTCAACATATATTTGGTCATTTATCCGAGTCGAACCTGAAGACATGATTCTTATAAAATTAAAATACACGAAATGTGAAGTAGCTGATCTGTTTGATGACGTAAATACGTACAAAAGGAAAAATTGAAATATAAAATAAAAGAACGTGAGTTTTTCTTGGTATTGTATGACGAAAGATTAAAACGACGAACACATCTAAATTTTTCGCTCACTAGATCATCATCAAAACTTTTTTAAAGTAAGTTTCAACCGATTGCTTTTATTTCTACAGAACAATCGGAAAAAGTATATCTTCAAACAATGCCTTAAGATCAAACTCTATTCTGTTCCAAGTCACCTTGGCCCTCTTTTTGGGGAAAAATATCATCGTCATTTATAGGAGGCAATTCATCATCCACGAACTCGTCACCTTCCAAAAGTTCCAGAATTTTCTTACGGTGATCATTTTCATAGTTAAGTGAGTATGAATTTTGCTCTTTGTCATCTACGTCCTCTTCAATGGCTGTTGGAATCAATTTATAATTGTTCTCATTATCAAAATAATCATACCTTTCAATATGTGAATCCTTCATTTTCTCTCTCTCATCAAGAAGAGACGGTTCTTCATTATCGTTCCTAGTGTGGTAGACCAGTTCTTTGAGAGATCCAGCTGTATAAGAGTTATCAAAAGCTTCTTTTGGCATTACAATTTTATCTTCCTCATCTATATAATTTTGCTGCGGAACAAAGATTACGCCCTGAAGATTCCATGGAGCATTCTTGAACTCATGTAGTGATATAAGACTGTCATCTGTAAAACAAAACAGTTCAAATGTATTCTTTGATAGATTGTTTAGGCAGAGTATTCATGATGAAACTTAGCTGAATTGACGGCAACTGCCTGTTGTAGAGACACAAGTGTAGAGAACGACGTGTCGAAAGTCTTACGCCTTTCGTCTAGGACCTGAAGATGAAAGGTGGAAGACTTTCGAAACGTCATCCTCTACACTTGTGTCTCTACGAGAGGCAGTTGCCGTCCATTCTACAAAGTTTCATCATTTCAAATGTAATCATTTGTTCTGAGCAACTGATTTAAAGTTTAAGCTTAATAGATTGTTAGTATATGTCAGGAAATAATAATTATACCTAACTTTCTGTAGTTGTGGACCGATACGAATTATATTGAGCTCAACTGAAAAACTATTTTACACCTTTCCAGCAATAGGAAACTAATCGAGATCACGTGATACTTGATTCCTCTGGTGTCTTGGTTCTCAATCTGAGATCGAAGACCCACAGAGGTCCGTGGCATTCTTAATAAGTTCGAATTTCCATATTATAGTTTAATAACGTTTCTGTTATATCATTAACTTACATACTTATTTATGTTAGCACCGCTATTATACACTGTACGAAAAATGTATGCAAATAGCTTTATCTGAGTATGGGTGTCCGCGAAGAAAAATAGGCGGAGAACCACTGTTGTAGGAATATATTAAACAAGTTAAGCGCAATGTTAATAGATATGACTTAAATATGTATCTTTAAATTCATATTATAACTTTTCTCTACCATCCTAGCTAAATTTATTTATTGAATGATTCAAAATTTATGAAAGACAGATAAGCAATAAATTAATTAAATAATGTCGCTTTATTGAGTAACATAAATAATGTCACTATAATGAGCAACATAAATAATGTCGATTTACTGAACAACATAAATTATTTTACTTTAATGATCAACATAAATAATGTCACTTTACTGAGCAACATAAATAATTTCACTTTAATGATCAACATATGTAATGTCGCTTTATTGAGTAACATAAATAATGTCACTATAATGAGCAACATATGTCACTATAATGAGCAACATAAATAATGTCGCTTTACTGAGCAACATGAATAATGTCGCTTCACTGAGCAACATATATTATGTCGCTTTATTCAGCAACATAAATAATTTCACTTTAATGATCAACATAAATAAAGTCGCTTTGTTGAGCAGCATAAATAATGCCACTTTATCAAGCAACATAAATAATGTCATCTCACTGAGTAACACAGGTAACGTCACTTTACTGAGCAACTTATCTAACGTCACTTTATAATACACACACATCTATATTTTCGTCAGTACGTTATAGTAAATACTTCCACAAATAAGTTCTTAATATATGCTACATAATTCGTGAATGAATCAGATTATGCTTTAACGAGAACACATTTCTGAAGAATGATTATTTATCTCCGTATAATTCTTTCACACCACGTGTTCAATAGACGGTTAACGACTTAGTTATATTTGATACGCAGTATAAATTGTTTGCTTGTTTGTTTTGGATTTGCCCAACACTACATGAGGGCTATCTGCGCTAGCCGTCCCAAATTTAGTAGTAAAAGACTAGATGGAAGCCAGCTAGTCATCACCACCCACTGCAACTATTAGGCTACTCTTTTACTAACGAATAGTTGGATTGACCGTCACATTATAACGTCCCCACGGCTGAAAAAGCGAGCATATTTTGTGGGAAGGGGATTCGAACACGCGACCTTCAGATTGCAAGTCATGCCGGGCCAGTACAAATAGATGTCAGCACAACTGTTCTCATCGATCTATACATCTCACGTTGCTCAAATATGGTCATGTGAGTTGGTGTTTAGTGTGTATATACAGACACTGTACGATTATAATAATGCTGTTAAGTATTCTGAACAGAGGAGAAACGATAATCTTTGAAACAAGTACTTACATCCTTGAATTACTGTTTTCTAGTTATAACTGCAACGAGTACTTACATCTTTGAATTACTGTTTTCTAGTTATAACTGCAACGAGTACTTACATCCTTGAATTACTGTTTTCTAGTTATAACTGCAAGGAGTACTTACATCTTTGAATTACTGTTTTCTAGTTATAACTGCAACGAGTACTTACATCCTTGAATTACTGTTTTCTAGTTATAACTGCAACGAGTACTTACATCTTTGAATTACTGTTGTTTGAATTATAATTGTAACAAGTGGTAAAATCACTGGTAAAACACGTAGGATAGTAATGACGAGTTTAATTAAGTTTTCACCTCGACTAAAACACACTATTTGTTTTGTATTTTTTTTCTTTTCCTCATAATTTATTAGGTCGTCAAAAAATTAATGTCGCGTTTTGGAAAACTTTCATTACC